TCGATCAGTTGGTGATTTTCTGGTCTACCTGACTCATAGATGGGCGGAGGCAGTAGAGTCCAAGGGGGAGGCATTGGCCGTTAGTTTGGACATAGCGAAGGCCTTCGATCGGGTCTGGCACAAAGCGCTTCTTTCGAAGCTTCCTTCCTATGGGCTTCCCGAGAAATTGTGCAAATGGATCACCAGTTTCCTTGCTGATCGTAGCATCTTAGTTGAGGGTGCATGCTCTGATTTCAAGCCAATCAATGCTGGTGTTCCACAAGGCTGTCACCAACGCTATTTCTCCTGCATATCAATGATATGTTGCAAACTGGTAACATTCATTGCTATGCAGACGACAGCACTGGTGATGCCTTATATACCGGCCGTGCCAATATTTCTCGGGAAAACGTAGCCGAGTATCGGGGAAAACTTGCGTCTGAAGTCGAGTCTTTGCTGAACAGTCTCGGATGGGGGGCGACTAAATCTAGTCCAGTTTAATCCCCAGAAGACACAAGTTTGCGCGGTTACCGATAAAAAGAACCCCTTTGTCGTATCTCCTCAGTTTCAAGGCAATCCCCTTGCTGCCTCAGCTAGCATCGGAATCCTCGGCGTCGACATATCGAATAGTGTGCAGTTTCGTGGTCACTTGGAAGGGAACACCAAATTGGCCTCTAAACAGCTTGGCGTGCTCAGCAGAGCGAGACAGTATTTTATGCCGGCACATCGGTTGCAACTTTACAAAGCGCAAGTTCGGCCTCACATGGAATACTGTTCTCATCTCTGGGACGGGGCACCCCAGTGCCAGCTCCTTCCACTTGACCGCATCCAGCGCAGAGCGGTTCGAATTGTCGACGACCGAGTTTTTTCTGATCGGCTCCATACACTGACACTGCGTAGATATGTTGCATCTCTTTGCGTATTTTATCGAGAGTGCTCTGAGGAATTGTTCGGATTATTTCCAGGCGCTCAATTTCACTATCGCACATCGCGACAAAACTTGCGATACCATCCATACCATCTGGATGATTGGCGGTCCACCACTGTGCGATTCAGAAGTTTTCTCCCTCGCACAACTTCCTTGTGGAATCGATTATCACCAGCGATTTTTCCGAACCGATATGACTTAGGAACCTTCAAGAAAAGAGCTTACACCTTTCTAAAACGCCGGCAACGCATCTGCAATTCCCCTGGTGCTGCAGTTGTTCATGGGCGGCGGTAGTCACTTACTATAAGGTGAGACGCATGCTCGTTTGCCCCTTCTATAAAAAAAAGATGATTGAATTATTACTATGTCTCAAATTTTTCTAATCCATGCTATCCCAATCGTTTTTACAATTATTAAAAAAATTCTGCCGAATAAGTCTTCGCTTTTCATCGGCCTTTTTTTTCGAATTTCTTAAAGTTGTAAGTTGTATAGTTTTTCATGGTTACATAAATCACCCGAGTCTGAAACACCATAATAAATCAAATAAACAAAAGCCAGAAAATAAAATCTATGTTAAAAAGTCGTTATAATCAATTTTGCAACGTATTTTTTTAGTATACTATCCACAAATATTAAACTGTGTATAGTTATTTTATTTGTTTTTTACCAAAAATTATTTACTTAAAAGAAAACAATTAATTTTAATCAATTTTTATGGTACTCTTTTCTTAGATGTGCAGCTTGATCCGTTGTTATACTACAATTAAACTTACAACAAGAATTTTCCATGACAGAAAGAATTTTTCAACTATGTTCAAAAACAAAAATTGGAACGGATATTTTGAAATAGCATGTACGGAATTCTACAGAAATTTTTTATACCAATCTATGGATTTAGAGAAATTTGATTAAAGGTTCTCGGAACCGGTACATCGGAACCCAAAACAGAACCGAAACCGGAACTGGAACCGTACCGAAAAGAGGAACCTTTATAAGAACCTAAATGAATAACCAGAACCGAAATTGGTACCGGTATTCAATCCCTGACTGACAGACAGACGGAACGATAGTGGAGACTTGGGTCCCGTTGATACTCTTTGGGTACGGAAGCCTAATAAACGGCAATTATGTCATTTGAGCAATACTACAGTAATAAACATTAAATAATATAGAATTAGGTTATATTATAATAAGTTAAATATATTATAAAATATAGTAACAATAAATTCACATATAAAAATCTCAGCCACGGGGAACTTTATTTTTGCATTCGCGGCAACACTGAATAGCGTCATTGATATTTTGTGACTTATTTATGGCTCGTGTTATTTTATGTTAAAATTTCAAAATTGTATGGATACTTAATGATAGTATGTGATTTCAGTGTCTTTCTTATTTCTTGTAGTATTATTTTTACACAGTTTCTATAAGTAAACTGGTATTTTACTTCGGATTATGATCAAAATTTAATAAAACATTCGGTACATTCACCTCACACGTTGCCTGCAACGTGACTGGCTCCGGTACGCCGATTTCGGCGTAGTATTTTTTGCCGCATTTTACATGAGCGCCGGCGATATCTAGTCAGAGCGGGCGATGACTTATCATTACTCTATGACCTTAGGATATAAATTTGAAATTTCGTCTTGATAACTTCATTACTACTTATGTAACCAGTCAGTTATAGAAGACGGGAATGACTGACTTGACAATGTTGAAAAATATAGAACACTGCGCTGATTAAATTCCTAAAAACAAGGAAAAACTCAAAAAAAAAACATCCATGAAGAATGGTGGCCGTTGACCAAGACCAAGATTCTGCTCCTTCAAAATCAACCGTACAAAAGTGATGTACGAAGATGACCCCCATTCGGGTGGGCCAATCACAGCGGCTATAGAAAATGTGAAAATTATTGAAAAACCTTTTTTTATAGGATAGGGTGACAAACGAGCACACAGTCCACGTGATGGTAAGTGGTTGCTGTACATCCACATCTATCCTCAATAAAGAAATAAGAGTACATATTTTCAATTACAACTGTTTTGTTATTGGATAGGGTGACAAACGAGCAAACAGTTCAACCTGATGGTAAGTGGTTGCTGTGACCCATAGACATCTACATTTATCCTCGTTTGCGAATCAAAATGCAGATGCGTTGTCACCCGTGAGGACTAAGATGGAATGAATCTTTTCCAGTAAAAAGGGTCTCCGGTTCTCTACAATCACCATACGAAACACAGCGGCGTTAAGCTGCTATTTTACGCTGGTATACTGTGAGAGCGTGGTCCTTCTCCGGTCGAACCGACCCATTCGTGCTACAACTATACTAATAATATAGCTGCACAGAACAGAGCCATGCTGATTCATGTAAGTTGTAAAGTGTAAGTTGCAAGTGCAAGTGCAAAGTGCAAGATTGACTTGGCCATCGCATGGAAACGCAATGTACTTATCTCTCAAGTAATACATATTATATTAAATTAGATTGTTTAGTGAGATTGCCAAGTCAATTTATTTATTTAAAACATAAGAGATTTTTAATATTGATATGGTCACTATAAGATGTTGTTAGGTTAGCTAATTACGTAATAACTTAAGACAGAAGGACCCTTAAGTAGGGACTGAATAAATTAACCGACTTGGTATTCCATGGATCTCACACTTTTTACGGTAGAACTGAGTTGCGAGACTTGGTTTTTTTACAAATTATGTATTTGATGGCATTTCATTTCTTTTTGTAGATAGTTATATCTAGGTACCTATCTACACCTATTATAACATTATACATATAAAGGTACACTGATTCATTCACTGCAAATGTAACTTTGTAATCCTATATATTTATATGAGATTACCAAGTTATTTATGAAGTTGGTGTATCTCGAAAACTGGACCGAAATTGCAAAATATTTTAATTTTTCCTTGATTTATATACTAAACAATAGTTGTATTCCAAATTTGAAGCTTCTATGTCTGCTAGAGGTGCCTTAGTTTTGATGATTGGTCAGTCAGTGAGTGACAAAATTAAGAAACTTTGACTAGTTACAATTCTTGGTACAAATTTAATAAAATTTGAAACATCGAGATTATACAATACTTGGTTACTGAAAATTCAGGCTTCTAGTTTTATCCACAACGAAGTTATAGCGTTTCGAAAATGGCCTGAACTGCTTCGAGAAAAGGATGGCACGGCCGTGCCGCTTGGAATCTGAATGTCCCCCAAAGTCACTCCATCGGCCGGTAAAATCATGGCCACAGTGTTTTCGAATTCCAAAGGAATATTATTGATTGAGTACACAAAAAAAAAACCATCAACGCAGACAAATACACGGCCACTTTACGCCGTTTGAGAGAAGCAATAAAAGAAAAGAAAGAAGAGGAAAGCTGACCAAGTGGGTGCTGCTTCTTTACGACAACGCACCGGTCCACACGGCACGGCTCCAAGGCTGCTGTACGAGACTGCGGGTTAGAGGAAATTAACCACCCACCATACAGCCCAGATCTAGCCCCTAGTAGTAGTGTCTAGCATCTAGTGACTACTTTTTATTTCCAAACTTAAAAAAAGACCTTCGGGGAAAGCGATTTGCTAACGATAATGACCGCAAGTCTGCTATAAATAAACATTTTTCAGACCAAGACGAAGAATATCTTTTCAAGGGAATGGATATATAAAGCTTTTTTCACAAACAAGTAAATGTAATGTATACTATGTTGAAAACCAAAAAATATTTCACAATTTTATCTTTTTTCCAACATACCCATACAAGGAATATATTGAACACCGCTCGTAGTTACAATCCTCTTTCTATTTTTACCGTCAAATAACAGTGCTTTTACTACTGTATTCCTGTTCCGGTCAGACATTCAATCTTAGTCTTCAGAGGTGACAACACATCTGTAGCTGTTTTTAAGTTGGTTGCAAATGTCCATGGACTGCACGGGCCACTTACTATCAGGTACCTAAGTTCATTTGTAACTTGTTTCATGAAGTATCAAAATAGTATTTTTTTTATACAATTAGGTACAATAATATGATAATTTCTATAAATCTAATAATTAAAAAACGCTATAAATTTGATGTTTTTTCTTCCACATTTAAAGTACTAACTGCATATCCATACATCCATCACAGATTAAATATATGTGGGTTTCATTCAAATCTGAAACTGTTGTAAATTGAGCAACCTTATTACACTGGACATTATGTTTTTCTATTGATTCAAAAATGATTTTTTTAATGTTTAGTAGACTGTTTTGAGATTTAATTTTTATATCACAAGTGGAACACGAAATCATGTCATCTTTATAATTAAAATTTGTTTTTTGGCACACTGGGCAAATAACATTTTCTTGTTGTAATGTTGACCAATCAATGTCATCCATTTGCGATTTTTCATATTCTTCCAACCACCTAAAATTCAAAACAAATAATTTAATTTCACTGAATATGACGGCATTCACATTCACACAACTGTTTTTAACTCCACTGGACACATGGCTTCTTGAAAGAATCCACCAGCTGGCACATATTATTATACTTGGAAGATAAATGTAGATGTCTTTGGGTCACAGCAACCACTTACCATCAGGTTGACTGTGTGCTAGTTTGTCACCCTATCCTATAAAAAAAAAAGTATGCCACTTAAGTACTATGCTAAGCAGCCAAGGTGGTAAGCACATTTTGTAGTAATTTTTTACAGCTTTGGAGAGACTGACCAACAATAGTTTACTTGATTATGAATTATACTCCTCATCTATCATTGTAGTCGTATTAAATTAAGGAATTGATAGGAAAAATTATATTTAATTCAAAAAAATTAAAGGTGCCTTAGCAGAAAAAGTTTTTTTTTTTATATAGAATGGGGTGACAAACTAGCACACAGCCCACCTGATGGTAAGTGGTTGCTGTGGCCTATAGACATCTACATCTATCCTCGATTAAGAATCAAAATTCAGATTCAGATGGAATGACTCATTTCCAGTAAAAACGGTCTCCGGTTCTCCACACTCACCATATGAAACACAGCAACATTACGCTGCTACTTTATACTGGTATTCTGTGAGTGTGGTCCTACCTCGATCGAGCCGGCCCATTCATGCTACAACCATAATAATATAGCTGAAGAATGGCTCTACCACGTAAAAATGTAACATATATTATATCATATTATTTATTTCATGAATTGAAGATTGTTAAATCTACCCTATAATGAGAGACCCATGTGAAACAGTGGACTCTTGCAGGCCGAAGAAGAAAAAGAATTTAAGTTAAACAGCGTAGGTTTAAAATATAGAATCAGGTGTTATTTTATGGAAGTACATTATATTAAAGTTGGTAAAAACTTACTTACTAAGCATCTAAGCGGTCAGCCACCGCAGAGTCTAGATCACCTGATGATGCCTTGTGTAGAGGCGAAACACTGTATTATAGTTAATAGAATCAGGCGTTACTTTGCGGAAATCCATTATATAAAAGCTTTTAGAAAAATTTACTTCGCAACTATCCGCGTTATAAAATAAAATGATGTGTCTTACCTAGTATGAAGAGCACCTCCCGTCCTCCCTCAATTGCGTGCACTATCCCCGTCACCACTAATCCCAGCACCGCTACTCCCAACACCACTACACTAGGCAAGACACACCACTGACGATAATACGACACGTGTTTCGCCTCTACACGAGGCATCCTCAGGTGATATAGACTCTACGGTGGCTCAAAAGAAAGAAAAAGTGGCGGGTGGTAAAAGAAACAAAAGCAAGTTGTTCGAAACTCTCTGTACGCGGTTCAACCTCAGTGTTCATCGATATGTTAGCAGTTTGACCTACTAAGACCCCATATCTGAAAAAGTAGCTAATACTCTTCGACAAAACGGCGTTCATGTGGCGTTCAAAACAACCAATTCTCTTATAAATATTTGTAATAATAAAGATAAGTTGGATATTCGTCAAAAGTCAGGTGTTTACAAACTTGTTTGTGACGAATGCCACGCCGTTTACGTGGGTCAGACTGGTCGCAATTTCGAGACACGTTATAAAGAGCATTTAGCCGCGTACAGGAATTGCAATCCCGATAAATCCCATTTTGCCAAACATCTTTTGGACACTGGACACAGCCTAGCCAACGACCACTCCTTTAAAGTCTTACATACGTGTAATAAAGGGCAGCGGCTGTGTGTGCTGGAACAGTTAGAGATATTAAAAAGTAATAATAATACCGTTGCATTGCTGAATGAACAAACAAATGTTACTAACTCACCTCTCTTAAATATCTTTAAGCCTGCTCTCTAATAATAGAGCCTCGCAATATGGTCGTTTGTCACACTCACGGTGATCGGCGATTGGTTGCGTGGTTGGAGGGTGGGCGTTGCGCGGCGGTTTGTTTTTAATTTTACAAACGGCTGCGTAAGTCCAGCGGTGATTGGTCGCATGTTTTATCGCATGACGCAGTCGCTCGCTCCTTAAGTAGAGAGCGGTTGCATCATCGGTCTGTATAAAAGGTACTTGTTTTGGCTTGCCGCTCACTTAGCGGTGAGCCACCGTAGAGTCTATATCACCTGAGGATGCCTCGTGTAGTGGCGAAACACGTGTCGTATTATCGTCAGTGGTGTGTCTTGCCTAGTGTAGTGATGTTGGGAGTAGCGGTGCTGGGATTAGTGGTGACGGGGATAGTGCACGCAATTGAGGGAGGGCGGAAGGTGCTCTTCATACTAGGTAAGACACATCATTTTATTTTATAACGCGGATATTTGCGAAGTAAATTTTTCTAAAAGCTTTTATATTTGTTGTATTGTTGTCAGTGGTGTGTCTTTCCTAGTGTAGTGGTGTTGGGAGTAGTGGTGCAGGGATTAGTGGTGACGGTGATAGTGCACGCAATTGAGGAAGGGCGGGAGGTGCTCTTCAAACTAGGTAAGACACATCATTTTATTATATCGAGCGGATGTACGCCAAGTAATTTTTTACCAATTTTAATAGCGTAGGTTTATCTTTAATATACAATGTCATTGAAACTTTTAAATCATGTCTCTTTCATTTTACACATTCAGCCAGACCCTTACAATGGCATATGGTTTCTACTTTAGGGTGATATTTTCTTGAAGAACTGCATTTTAATATTGATTGGCTTTGACTTGAGGTATTCCCAAAAAATAAGTTCAGGCAAGTATGGTGACCAAGATATATCTCCATAAAACATCTACAGCCCTTTTTAGGGTTACTTTTGGGCATAGGTCTTTCCAAAAATAAACCAGTTACATTGTAAGACATGCCCATAATCACCAGATAGTTAACCGGCTACCCCCTCTCTCGCACTAGTCATGCTCTTCCTCTTTGTCAACTGTGGAATTTGGGTTATATCATGTTTGGATAGATTTTATTGCCTTCATTTGGCTGTCCGAGATTTGTTTGCCAAAAACAGGGTGCATGTACCAGTGACAATGCCATTTTGAGGGAAATTTGGAATAAAAACTTCTACACCACAATTTGGTCTCTTTTATAGACTAAGATATTTACTAAGTGTCTTGCTTAGATTTTTGCTTCTTTACCACATGCATGGAGTAGCAATTTCTTAAATGTTAGTTACTGCTGATGTTGATGGTCCCAGAAGAATTCTGTTGACTCATGCAACCACAACCATATTATTTTAATGCTCAGCATATAAGCCAAAAAATTACAAAACAGCTACCATACTTTTCATATGCTTGATGCAATTCAGTTTATATAAATATTCCCTAATACTGACTTATGGTATACATAAAAACTGTGAATCATGAAATCCTTGAAATTTTTCTACTAGAAACTCAATCAATAATTTCTTTGGTGGAGAATGAACTTTATAATGTTTTAAAAAAAAGTATCCTATGTCTTATTCCACAACATAATTGATTTCGATGCCAAATTAAATTTCTCATCACTTGACTAACTAGTTAGGTTGGACTGCTTTTGGGCCTAAGTGCTTGTTCACGTAAAATGTGCGAGTGTAGAAATGGCATTGGGTGGTAGTTCATATTACACCAGGCGTTTGTGCGAATGCGACCTGTTGTCAGAGTTTGTAAACATGGATGACAATCTCTTATTTTTAATAGAAAATTCTTACCTAAAGTGGGAGATGACAAAAAGTAGAATTGGCATGCACGAAATTAATAAAGAAAGAGAATCGTATGATGAATTTCATAACTTACACAGCAAAAAAATAACAGCCTACTACATCCCACTCCTGAGCACAGGCCGTCTATCATTTCTGAGAAGGTTTTAGGGCTGGGAATAGTCTGCCACGCTGCCCCCAATGAGTGTTGGTGGACTTCACAGTCTTCGAAATATTTTTTTAATTTCTAAGATATACAGGTTTCCTCACAATGTTTCTCTTCACTGTTATGTGGTAAATAAGCACTTAAAATTGTAATTATAAATTTCATTGGTGCCGGCTGGGTTCGAACCCGAGTGGCACACATACTGTTATATATAGCTAAAATAAAAATCAAAGAAATTTCTTGGTTAAGCATACCTGCTTAATATACAATGATTGGTAACTTGACCTCTACTTAATCATCAAATATATTTGTGAAATTTCTAATATTTATATTAACCATTCCAATAACTTGGTAAGTTAAAAATGTGTTGTTCACAACAGTCATAGGATGGTGTATTCGAACTTATGAATTTTGAGTTTGCAGTCCACACCCTATCATAAGGTTACTATTGCTTCTAATATTTTAAATACTTAATATAAATATATAGTTATATTTTATATGTATATCATACTTAATTTTAAACTTTTATAATAACTATTTTCTAATCAGAAGAGCTGTTGAAGACGACAGATATCTAAATTTAAAATAGGGTATATTTCTATATACTAGGACAAAATTATGAAATAAAAAATACAAAAAGTTTGGTTTTACAAACCACTGAATTTCTTCTTCTATAAGTTCATTTTTTATTTCTTCAAGTACATTGTTTTCTTGTTCATCAACATCACCAAGTGGGGAAAAATTAAACATGTTTTTATATATTTCAGTCAATGTATCACGAATTTCTGATTCGGCCACAGTTCCACGAAATTTATTAAGAAGAATGTTGCGGCAGTTTTGCACCTTATCTTTATAGTCCTGAAAATTAATAGTTGAATCCTGATAATTAGCCTCAAAGAATTTGAAAATGCCTTATTTTAGGAGACGTAGTGGTAATTGTAGGAGTGCTTAACTGCGGTCTATTGGCATAAATAGATCCCCGACTCTTTGTGCTTACTAGAGATTTGGCTCCCTTGCATTACCTAATTCAAGTAATCTTAACGGTCGTGTAAGTAACATTACTGGAATAAAATTTAAATAAAAAATAATACAGTAATTTTACAAACCTTTCTCATTTTCTCCTTTAAAGCTATTGGCGACTGCTTTTGTTTAGATCTTACATGTTTATATGAAGGTGAACAACTTACTTTAGGCGAATTCATGTTTTATTATTTTGTTGAAGGAAAATACCAAAAACGAATAAATAACTATTTTAAATATAAACACGAATAAATTTAAAAAATCATAATATTTCAATACAAATATAAATCGTTTAATTCAATTAGTATGTACCTGTATGTAGGTATATTTTTATTTTCGGCAAATTTTCGGTTTCGGCGGGACGGTACGATATTTTTTATTCAGATATTTGACTTGGATGCTTGTCATTAAAGCCATATCTTCTTCTATCTCGGTATCAAGTGATTTTATTCCTTTGTAGTAGTGCTTCACAATGTGTTGATGCGTCACATTGCGCAGCCCTTGGGAGATTTTGACGGCAACTAAAGCCAGCAGACAGTCAGCCATAGTACCTCAAGGCGCATAAGCAGACGGACCCCTTAAGATTCACTTCATCATCGGAGCACTTGTTTCACCGTTTCCACTAATAGTTTACATGCGAAGACACAAAATCGCCCCACTTTTAACTATCAAAATCCACTTCAAATCGTTATTTAAATAATAACACAGGGGCCGCAATGAGTTACCGGGGTAGTTTCAGCAAAAACTCGGCGTGAAGATATTGCGATTTCGATTATATACAATGTATACTCTATGATTTCGATTTCGCGAAATGAAAATAGGCTTAGAGGCTTAGACAAAAAATATTAATATTAACTCATAAAATTATCGACATATATCGTCGAAATTTTTAATCTTAATGTGTCGATATTCAATATTTATTTTAGAATATCGAATTGGTATTAATTTTGATGTTTTAGCCGTCCACTGGCTTGCTTAGTTTCCACTGTGGAACGACTGCAAAGACAGTAAATAATTGTTTGAACTTGAAGCATAAATAAAAAAAGTCTTCATGTGTATTTTTACGATTTTGGAATGTTTTCGGAATATGTATATATATAATATTTTGACTGCTTGACAACAATAACGATATATTGATATTTTTACTCGATAATTATAGATACTGTTTAAAAACATTGATTCGATAAATATCGATATGTTCTTTTTTTCTTTTACTCGTACCAAAAAACATCAAATCTTTCTATATATATATACTTTAAGTTATCCCCAACTATATTCTAAGCCTAGGAAGGCACCACATAGATATCATCCTATGTAATATATGGTTGTTTCGATATACACTGTGACCACTGCAAAGTGTGACGTCAATTCAGTATACTGTAAAGCCGTTCCTTTTTAGTTTGCTATACTGTTTACTGTTAAAACGGAACGCAGTCCAGTATACTGTCACCCGCATTTTCGACACTGTTTTCAAATGAAAATATTTATTATATAAACGTTATTTGTTCAACATGAAAATTAATTATTCGAATGTTGTTACTTTTAAAACTTAATGACGGAATTTATTTAAATAACAATATTAATTAGTAATGAAAACAATCATTCGTGGAAGCTGTTCAATCTCAAGTCGTTGTTATGTTTTTGATCACGTGATCAAAGTACTGAGAACACCTTACCTCAAAAGGGAAAGTGCTTAAGGGAAAGTGCAACTTGATGGATTTTTTTATTAGATTTAAAGATATATTGTTATATCTAAGTATGTTAATAAGTCTTAGTTAAGGTTATAATATGTACTTCTCTCTCTACGGTACATAGTAATAATATCTATATATAATAATATCTATAAACACTAGACGAGCAATGAGTATATTCTACAATGAAGAGTCCATGTAGGTATATCTGTTTTACACAAATATAATATCTCGCATGGTTGCGCGCGTTTATGGTTCGTTCGCATTGTGAATCAGTGTATGTTATCATAATGGTGGCACTTCATATGGCTATTTGTATTTGCATGTTGCCTTATTTGGCAAAAAATTCGACGTACGGGCAAATAAGCGATACAACTATGTACACATGGAGTCAAATACCAAAAAATTAAACATGTTTGCTAGCAGAAAGTAATTGTACCTATAAAATGGACGTTGCACTTGCAGCTGGATTTTATTATTTGAACGCATGTTACTATTATATATTATGCGTAAAAAATACAGTGATGAAAAAACTACCAAGAGCAAGGCGACGATTTCTTTGACCTAATTCATTTTTCGTAGGTACATAAATAATCATTTATTAAGAGGTTATAAACAGGTCCGTCCGTACTGGTTGACAGTTCGTGCGCTTATGAGCCCGACCACTTTGGCCAGTATATTTGCGTATTTGCCTATTTGTCTCCTTTGATGAGCCTTGAAAAACCGACAGACGATTGGTAAGCCGTATTTGTTATTTGCTATATTTGCCAAATAAGCAAATACGGCAATAAGTATGGCAAATATACTCTCCATATATGGAAGTTATTTGTCAAATACAGCAAATATGCAAATACAAATACCCATGTGTAGTGCCACCATAAATATTTTTTATAGTTACGTTATTATTATTTCTTCACGTGAGATGTTAGAATGTTGTGTAAAGTGACGCTCTATGGTATAGTTTGCCTGTTGCCCGATGTATAAATATTGGATATTGTACCGATATACGGATATTGTATCTATATACGATTTGTATCGTTCAATTGTCCATTACTACGCTAATTAACCTGTGTGTTGTAATTGTAATAGCAACATTAGACACAACTGTCATACAGATGGAAAAAAACAATGTGAGTAGATGTGAGTGATAAGTAAAAATATGTTTAAGTCCAAGAGTTGAGATGTAAAAGTTTATTTAATGATTTTAATAAGTAATTGATTGTAAATTAATTAGCTATATAGTAAGACCATGACTCATGTAGAGAAGCGACAAACCCGCACGGGGAAAGAAACCATACACTCAGGACACTTCATGGTGTCACATTTTGAAGCAGAAGAACAAGATGATTTTGATGATTTGGCTGTCCCCGTGCCTGACGAAGAACAAATTATTCAGAAAAATTCGGTTGTTGCAACCTATACTGTACCTGGATCATCCAAAACATTTACTTTGTCTGATAAAGAAGAAAGTAAACAACACCAACAACTTTCTATAGAAATATCACTTACTAAGTTGTTTAAATGTATGTCCTTGGCGTATAGGTGAGTTTCTTGCATTTTATATTTTTTGGGATGATTATTTTGTGTACTTTGATATAATAAAGTTAATAGTTTCTAATAATATAGTTAACATGGTGGTTCCTCAGTGTAATTATATTAAAAAAATATTGTGTGTGGTATGTATATTTTTATTTATTTAAATACTATATCAGACATAATCCATGTTGTAACTTGTATTAAAAGTGATATAACATTAATTAAAAAAGATAATTTAAGAAACAGTAATTTATAAAATAATGTGAAAGGACATAAAATTCTGAATACTCTGAATTTACTAATTTTAAGTTATATACCGTTTTTACCATGGTTACTTCTTACAATGAGGAAACATATGTTTCTAGCTATATTGAAAGATAAAGATAACATAAGGTTATCAGAGCCTGTACAAAAGACACAGGTCATTTGCTGAGATAAGTCTGTCTATGAATGTTAAATTATAAATTAATATTGTCCGGTTTAAATGTTTTTCCATAAAATTTCTTTTTGCTAATTTATTAGTTTCAATTGTAAATTATATTTTGACCTTGTATCTTATATGTAAGTATTTTAAAGCTATATTTATTGTGGCATTTCTTGGGGGAGGCCTATATCCAGCAGTGGACTTGTGAAGGGCTGTAATCATTATGATTTAATTCAGTACATAATAATATGATCAGTTTGCTTCATATTCTACCTGTGCAAATTTCTAAAATTTATGTAGATGAAAATTTCTATTAACTATCATTTGTGAACTGAAATAACTACTATGTTTAATAATTTCTATTTCATTTCTTAGGTGGTTAATCTCACATGCTTTGTTTTGTTTGTAGGTTATGCTTTGTTTCAAACATAAATCTTTTTAAAGTAAAACATTTTTTTGTACGCCATATCTTTTTACTCATTAGTATCAAATTTTCAAAAATGTAGTATGTAGTATAGTTGTAGCACATATGGGTCGGCTTGCCTAGGGAGGGACCACACTCACAGAATACCAGCATAAAATAGCAGCTTAACACTGCTGTGTTTTGTATGGTAAGTGTAGAGAACCGCAGATCCTTCTTACTGGAAATTAGACATTCCATCTTAGTTCTCACAGATGACAATGCATCTGTAGTTTGATACATAATGGAGGATAGATGTAGATGTATATGGGCCACAGCAACCACTTAACATTTTTATGTAGAGGTTTATGAATAATAGCTACAATTAATTGTAGCTGTTCATAAACCTCATAATAATTAATTTGAAACATATTTTGTATGTCTGAATAAGCAGATTAGTTAGATGAATGCATTTAAAGGACCATTTTGCTTCTTGTTTAATTCATTACTTAAATTTAATAAATATGATCACAATTTTTTTATTATTTTATATTTTAAAATCAATAGCATTTGACAATGTCTCTGACGCTACTCTAGTAGAAATTGTGATAAGATACAGTTAGGTTTATTTCTTATCAAATTGTTATTTATAATAAGCTTAAGATTATTTATTGATAGTGGTGAAGATAAAGTCGCTACACAAGATTGTCTGCCATTTTATGTTTTAGGTGTACAGTTTAACAAGAAGGCTGTACTTTATTTACAATAATAATTTTTTCCTTTTTAATCATGTCTAGTGTTATTTTTTTTAAAGCAAAAATGATTCTCATCAACTCAAGTACCTTTAGAGTTAATTTTACTATGAAAGTACTTTTATTGAAAATTAATTTGTGACATTAAGACAGAAGAAGCATGGTAAGTTACTGTTTTTAATATTTTTTGTCATTCTTCAGACAAAAATTAACTTCACCCAAATGGAATCGTTTCAAAGGTATAAAACTCCGTTGGAAGGACAAAATCAGACTAAACAATGTTATTTGGAGATGTTGGCACATGCAATGTAAGTATCTTTATTTCAAATATTTTTCTATTTACATGGTGTAACTGTTTAAGTTCATTCATTAATTTGTTCATTATAACATAGGCAATCCCTATAGATTGCTTCATAGGGGTGATATTTGCCATAGTTACTGTGGATGGGCAGGCTTGTTGGCAACTACAATTTTTTATTATTATTGAGTCATTATCAGGAACATTCTGTGGCCCATCTCCCGTTTCAGTTTAACTCTGTCTCATCTTACAACATTCATGGGTAATATGGGGTAGTGGATTCTCTTACTACGGCGACAATAACAATTAGAGTAATACATCCCCAACTACGGTTTTTATTCAAATGTCTGTTTGTGTGTATCTCTATTATGCACAAAACTGGCATGAAGAAGTTTTACTATAAAAAGTATTTAATATTTAATTATATTTTTCTAATGAACCCAAGCTCAAGAGGGCACCAATTATCAGTGTTAAATGAAAATTAATAATTTTTGTTCATTAAGAATTATATTAAGTAATTATTACCATCAAACAATGTAATAAATTACTACACAATATCAATAATTGAAGTTCACTTTTGAGAGAATCAAAACTATTTGCAGATAGTGTGTTATCCCCTTCAGAATGACAAAAAATATTTTTATTTTCGATGTAATTGTAGACTTATTTGAGATCCCTGAGGTCTTAAGTGTCTGGGAAAAATAATTAAAAAATTCCCCGCACAATCGTGCATTGTTGTTTTCAAGTGTTGTAAAGCATGATCATGCATGCTTTATGAAGAAAGGCAAAAATCAAAGCCATTAAAATTATTGTTTATCTAAATTTATCAACATTATTTTCGTTATTACAGTATTATACATAGGCTGCACTAAAAGTATCGGGAATGGAATATTTCCACTGTTCATGTCATATTAAAATCTTTTTAATTGAAAACTCCTTGGTTTTAAAAATCGAAGACCATTTATTTATATAAAAAAAGATTCTCGGTCTTGTCACAAGGTTTTGTCAAACTTGTTTAGTCGTTGAGAAAATGGAATTAACGGGATTCTGTTGTCATGGTGATTGGTTGTCACACGGGTTTGATAAATTTTCTCAAGAAGATTTTAATTAACGACGTTATTTTAGTTTGAATTGCTATATATTTTTTATTTTCAAACAAATTATTGTACGTAAGTGTTTAAGTAATTCCTAGCTAGCTTATCTACTGGGGATGGAAGAGATTGAACAGGATTCAGATCCTGCGGATGATGCCGGAAAATCTGGATCTTCACCCGACCTTTTTCTTAATTCTAATCCTACTGATACATTTTATCAGTCTGATACTGGTAATCCTATGAAACGTAAAGCCTATAATATATCATCCTTAAATTTAGAACCGAAGAAAAAAGTGTCTTCTCTTCCTTCAGCAGCCATACAGAATGTATTTGTTCATCCATTATCTGAAGAAAAGAAACGGTATAATAGTAATGACAGTGCACCTTTTATTGTTCACATTATGAAACCGTCCGTGGAGCCCTCTTCCGGAACTACAATTCAGCTAATTAAAGTGGGTCAATTTCTGTACCAAAACAATATTCAGGGAATTTTAAAGAATGGTGTTAAGAGCATAAGACGCAATCGTATTTCTATTGAGTTTTGTTGCCCCCAACTAGCTAACGATTTTGTTGTAAGTCCATTACTTGCTAAAGCAAATTTTGTAGCCGTAATTCCTACCTATGCTATTACGAGAATGGGTATCATTAGAGGTGTTCCAATCGATATAGGTATGGATGAATTCGTTTCTGCATCAGAAGTTGCTTCTTCTACGGAAATAATTCGCGCTCGTCGTTTAAACCGTAAAGTTATTAAAGCAGATAACTCTGTTGAGTGGATTCCAACATCAACGATTGTTATTACGTTCTCCGGTAAATTACTGCCCTCACATGTTTTTGTCTATTTCACGTCATATCCTGTAGAACCTTACCTTTTACCTACAATACAATGTTATAACTGCTGTCGTTTCGGTCATGTTAAGTCTAAATGCAGATCTAAGCCTCGTTGTTATAAATGTGGACAACCACATGATGGAGAATCATGTGAAGTTACCTCGGTCACATGTCTTCACTGTACTGGTAATCATGCAGCTATTAGTTCATCCTGTCCAGAATTTAATAGACAAAAATCTATTAAAGTAATTATGTCCCAAGAACATATCTCTTATGATGAAGCATCTGTAAGAGTCCGCCCATCCAAACGAGCCTATTGCGACATTGCAAGCAAAACTCCTTTAAATCCATCTCCTAATACGAGTAATAAGAATTCATTAAAAAAAACTTTCTATATAAATAGGAAACCACGTTCTCCAGCATCTGATCATGGGTATGACCATACAGCCCATGAATCCATGATCAAAACCCCAAGAAGTTCTCTTCCTAATAGAAATGCTTACCCTAAAGATAATGAGCAAAACCATACTTCTCCAAATGAAAATTTAATAGACTTACTTATATCCACACTTATGTGTATCATTTCGATATTTGACGACCACTGTTTACCTCCAAATTTAACCCAGTCTCTTGAGAAACTATCGATGCTCTTAAATAATATAAATAAGCATGGCTACGATTCTTCAATGGAACTGTCGCAGTATTAAACATAAAAAAGGCGATTTAATCTATCTTATCAACAAATACAACCCGTTTCTTGTAGCATTATCAGAAGTTTAGCTTCACCAGAAATCTCACTTCCGTATTCCTGGTTTTGCCTGCCTTCGCGAAGACAGGAAAGATGGTTATGCCGGTGCTGTAATCCTAGTTAATAGATTACATTCATTTATCAAGGTTTCACTTCCTCAACATAGTGAGGAATTAAACGTTGTAGCTTGCAAATGTAATGATATCACTTACCTGTCTTTCTATATTCCTCACCCACATCCATCACTGATCACTGAATTAAACTTAATAATTTCATCTATTACTCCTCCTTTTATATTACTAGGTGATTTTAATGCTCACCATGTCTCATGGGGCTCATGCAGAAATGATACTTTTGGCTATCTTTTAATGGAATTGTTTGATGAATTTAATATTTGCATTTTAAATGATGGATCTCCAACAAGGAGAGTATATCCATCTCAAAATCCTAAAAGTGTTGTTGATCTAACTTTATGTACCCTAAATCTTACATCACATATTAATTGGAAAGTTTTATCTCACTCATATGGTAGTGATCATTACCCAATATTACTTTCATTAGCCAACTGCTCAATACCAATCAGAGTTTTTTCTCCGCTGTTAAAATATAATTTAAAAGGAGCGGACTGGGCTAAATTCTCATCGTTATCAGATTCGGTACTCTCTAAATTTTATAACAGTCACTCTAATGATATAGAGACAAACTACAAAAACTTTGTTAAGTATCTTTTACTCACCGCAGACTCATGTTTCACACGAAAAATTTCGCCTCCTACCAAAATTTGTTCTCCCCCATGGTGGGATGAGGAATGCACACTCAGTGTTAAAAAACGAAAACAAGCTGAACGTCTATACTCCTCCAATATGTCTATTGAAAACTTTTTAAATTATAAAAAAAATAGCTGCTCATACATTAAAACTGTTAGCACATAAAAAAAGACGGGTTGGCTTAGGTTTTGTGAAAAACTTTCACCCCGCTCTCCTGCTTCTATATTATGGAAGAGTATAAAGAAATTCCTCGGATCATATAACGTTGATAATTATTCACCGCAATGTGATTCCTCTATTTGGTACAATTTATTTGCCGATAAGCTTGCTCCTCCTTGTTATTGTCACCCATTGATAACCCAACCTGGAGAAAACATTAACAATTCACGTTTTAATAAACTTTTCTCCAATGAAGAATTTGAATTGGTTGTTCAACACCTTAAAGATTCGTCTCCAGGAATAGACGGAATTCCATACTCATTTATTTCTAACGCAGGATCAAAATCTAAGCAAATTTTTCTAGACTTAATTAATGACATATTTATTACGGGAATAGTCCCTAATGATTGGAAAATGCAAATTATTATCCCCATCTTAAAACCAGACAAAAATCCTAGTGATGGTAATAGTTACCGCCCTATAGCACTATCATCAACTCTGTGCAAAATAATGGAGCATTTAATTAAAAATCGTCTAGAATGGTTTGTTGAAAATAAAGGTCTCTTGGCCAAAACACAGTTTGGATTTCGAAAGGGACTGAGCACGCTAGATAGCTTGTCTGTTTTTACCTCTGATATACCTTCGGCTTTTTCCAGAGAAGAATCGGTTGGTGCTGTTTTTCTAGATGTGTCATCAGCCTATGATAACGTTGTCTTCCCTTTACTCAAAGAAAAGATGCTTCTTTTGGATATTCCCCATAGAATTACTCGCATTATTTTTAATTTACTTACAGTAAGGTCAATATGTATAAGAGTTCAAGGAAAACTGCTCCCTCCTAGACAGATCTGGCGAGGCCTACCACAAGGTTCTGTTTTAAGCCCTATTTTATTTAACATATACACCCATAATCTCGAACATTCTGTTAACTCCTTTTGTAAAGTCTTACAATATGCTCACGATCTAACTCTTTATTACTCTTCTAAGAACTTTACAGACTTGAGTTATCGTCTTAACTCTGCATTGTTCTACTTAAATAATTGGCTTACTGATAACGGTCTATCCTTATCACCTACAAAGAGTAGAGTAGTAATATTCTATAGAAAAAGATTTTGTCCCAATATTTCAATCTCAGTACAAAATCAAATAATTCCGACAAGTGATAATGTTAAATTCCTAGGTGTTTTTCTGGATTCTAAGATGACAGGTATTCCTCATTTAACATTCATTGCCCAAAAATGCAAAAAGAATGTAAATATCCTTCGTCCACTGACAGGTGTTTGGTGCGGATCTCATCCATATTGTTTAAAAGTTTTATATAACGCTCTAATCCGTAGTCATTTTGACTACGGTACATTTCTCTTGGAACCTTGTAATAAACAAGCTCTTATCCTTTTAGATAAAATCCAACTCAAGTGCTTACGAATTATTTTGGGGGCCATGAAATCATCTCCGACAAATGCTCTACAAGTTGAATGTAGCGAACCTCCTCTTTACCTACGTAGACAGTATCTTGCCGATCGCTTTATATATAGGATATTTCAGCTATCTTCATACCCACTGCTTTCTAAACTGCATTCTTTAAACTCTGGATTGAAGAATAACAACTACTGGACTCATAAAGACGTTCCCTGTATCCTTAAAAGCTACCAAAAGATACTTACCTTCAAATTTCCCATATTTCAAAGTATGATTAATCCTCTATTCGGACATCCATTTGAAGCTCTATGTTATCATCCTCCAGTTATTTTAGATTTTATTGTGACTAAAAATTCCCCTGTAGCCCAAGAAAAATTTCTAAGTATATTACGCGAAAAATGGGAAGGGTGGTTGACCCTTTTTACTGATGCCTCCAAACTCTTCGATAATAGTTTTGTAGGTTCAGCTGTCTGGATACCGTAATATAAAATTATTTTAAATTTTAAAAATTCAAATGCTACTTCAATTTTCACTGGTTAAGTGGTTGCTATTTTAGAAGTAATTTTATTTATAGAAGCGCATAAAATTAACAAATGTATTGTTTTTACTGACTCATATAGTTTATTACAAAGCATTTCATCTAACTCGTTTCGAAGTAAATCGAAATTCCTAATTATTTTTGAAATAAAAGATGCACTGTATAGGTGTTTTTGTCAAGGTAACCTGAAACTTGCTTGGCTGCCAAGTCATAGTGGCATACGTGATAACGAATTTGTCGATTCCTTAGCAAAGCAAGCATCTACTTCTGGTACCCTCATGCGTCATATAACATATACTCAAGACCTTATTTCTCTTGCGAAAATCTATCAGATGTCAGATTGGAACTCTCTTTGGAAAAAAACTCAGAAGTCTATCGGTAAATATTATGCAGAACTCCAACCTGACATCCCTTCCAAACCATGGTTTTTCAAATTTAGAAATGGCTCCAAACATAGCACATTTGTCATATGTAGAATTAGATTGGGACACACTTGTTCACCTGTATTTTTGTCAAAACTTAAGATTAAAGATAGCTCAATTTGTGAGTGTGGATTAGACGAAGGTACGACCGATCACAAATTTTTTAACTGCCCTAACCTCTCCGTTTCATTATACGATTTTCTTCCTAATAACATCCCTCGTCCTGTAAATCTTAAGTCTTTGTTAAATTTAGTTTACACTCCTTTTGTATAAACTTTATTACATTTCATATCCATTAATAACATTAAACTATAGTACCTTTGCCACTTACCTATAACCATATTATTATATTAGCAATAATTTTGTAAAAATATTATAATGTTAATTCATTCGAAAATAACTACATAAGTAAGTTCGTAACATAAAGTTAAGTAAGCGCATCTACGGAAACGGAAACTAGTAAATACTCTGTGTGACTCTCATGAAATACTTGCCGCTGGCAGAATCCATTGGAAGTTGCCAAACTAGGAAAAAAAAAATGGAATTAACTCGAGAAAATTCAAGAGCGATGATTTATTATGACTTTCGAAGTGGTTTAACACAAAAACAGTGTGTTGACCGGATGATTTCTGCATTGTTGATGAAGCCCCATCCAAAACCACAATTTATCGCTGGTTTGCTGAATTTCAATGTGGACGTGTCAAGCTCAGTGATGATCCCCGTCAAGGTCGTCCAAAAACTGCAGTTATCCAAGAAAACGTTGATGCTGTGCGTAAGCTGATTGAGGAAGATCGACATGTGACATACCGCGAAATTCAGGCAACTTTAGACATTGGCATGAGTCAAATACAAATCTTGCATGAACAATTAGGTGTAAAAAAGTTGTTTTCCCGATGGATACCGCATTCGCTCTGTGAAGAGCAAAAAGCGGCTCGCGTTACTTGGTGCGTCAGAACTCTCGAAAGATTCCACGCAGGATCCTCAAATGCTGTATACAACATCGTATCAGGTGACGAATCCTGGATATACGCGTACGAACCTGAAACAAAAAAGCAGTCACGTGTTTGGGTGTTCGAAAATTAGTTAAAGCCAACAAAAATTGTTCGTTCACGGAGTGTTGCAAAAAATCGGTGGCCACGTTTGTCTCCAAAACCGGCCATGTTACGACTATTCCTCTTGAGGGACAAAGAACGGTTAATGCAGAATGGTATGCTAGCATTTGTTTGAACTGCAACCGCCGCATCATCCTCCATAACGACAATGCGAATTCTCACACCGCACACAGAACAAAAGAGTTTTTAGAGCAAGAAAACATAGAATTATTAGACCTAAGACGTACAGCCCCGACCTAAGCCCTAATGATTTCTATACTTTCCCTAAAATAAAGAATAAATTGCGTGGACAGAGATTTTCATCACCTGAAGAAGTTGTGGACGCCTACAAAACGGCCATTTTGGAGACCCCAACTTCCGAATGGAATGGTTGCTTCAATGATTGGTTCCATCGTATGGAAAAATATGTCAAATTTCGCGGAGAATACTTCGAAAAGCAATAAATACATTTTTAAATAGTAATGTTGTCACTTCCTTGATTCCCGAAATTTTCAGTGCCGCCCTCGTAGTGCAGTAATTTATCCGTTAACAACAATATTGTGTACTTAGTAATTAAATAACAATGAATATAGTAGGTACTTTTATAGAATTTCTAATCAAGGTAATAACTTTTATGAAATGGTGAAAAACAATTATTTCATATTAGACACAAGTATACATTAGATTTTGTGCATCTGATTTTTGTGGTAGAAGAGCAGATTTCTAGCCTGCATATCCTACCCTTGTCAGATCATCAAAAACAGGGAAATGGCCAACATGGTCAAAGTGTTTATCGAAGGATGGCGGTAAAGCTGATCTGTAATAAGGCCTTATAATCTCTTATAGGCCTTTTGGCAGCTGATGTGGGCTCTTCATTCTCCGTCATATTGTGAGAAGTAACCATGGAACAGTTCATAAGAACATCAGCTAAATCAACTCTGAACCATAGCAAATTCTTGGCCTTGACCTATTTCGCGTCACAGTCCATCTCCAAGCTTTTACAACTGCAAGTTTTAAGAAATGGATGAGTACTTTTACTTTCCATTTCTATGTTTTCTTGTATTAAAATATCTATCGAAATACAAGCAGCTATTTGGAGAAGCATTCTTTGCTAGACACAGGACAATAAGCAGGGCCTTCGCCTAGAGATTTGTCTGTAAAGTTAGGATTGTTAGAATAGTATATTTCGAAATCTAGCATTAGCCAATGACTTGTTGTGATAACATAATTCTTAATTCCAAGCGGCCTAGCTTTGTTTTAACTAAGGCTTGCATTTACCCGTAAAGGGTATAATTTGTTCGTCAAATGAGTAGAATCCTTTCAATCACTACATACATAATACATAAACACTCACGCCTGTCACCCAGAGGGGTAGGCAGAGACTACGGACTTCCATTTGGCGCGATCCTGACACACCTCTCTCGCCTCTTTTACATCCATATATCTACGCATACACGCTCGTCGGTTATGGGTACTCCTAATCTGGCCCA